AGTCAAAAGAAAATTACTGTTGAATTGAGCTTTATATTATTTACCCAAGGTTATTAGGAATCAATGTTAGTGTTGAGGATGTCAATGTAGATCCTTAGGATATGGATTGACACAAAGATTAATTTGTGGGCTTGCCTATTAGATGAGGGAGATTCTTGGTCTATTGCGCTGGAAGGAGTCTTGTCCCACCATATTGCTTTCTTTCACCCTGTTTTGCGAAGCGTTTATAGGAAATTGGAATATAGAGTTGTGGTATGCCACAGGCTACAATGATAAACACTAAGGATGAACTACAGGAATGGCCAAATTATAACAGCAACACGTAACACGACCTGGTGCTGCATTTTTAAAATGAAACAAATCTGGATTTTTTAAAAAAAAACTTTAAACCCAAAACAAATTATTCGGGTAACAGGCTGAAAATTGCATGTTTTCTTCCACTTGTCAAAATAGTGCTACAAGTGATAAATGCAACAAAAACAGAAAATAAAAGAACCAGTAAGAGCAGGGGGCAACCTTTTAAGAGTGAAGACATTGAAATTTACTTTGAAGCTATAGTCTCAAAGTTTTTGATACCACTGTGATTTGCCAGTTGAATAACTTGCCTCACCCATGTATGTGGATGATGGTGGTGAAGAAATAATGTAATAATCAGATCTAGTAGGTTTTGAATCTATAATAATTCTTGCATTTGATTATAGCTCCTGATCACGTCTTCATGACGTCTCAAAGCACTTCACAGAATATACTGCATAGTGAATTGACTGTATTTTGGTATTTTGCAGGCGAAACGCAGCAGCCAATTGCACACAACAGTGTCCCACAAACAGTCATGGATTGAGTGGCCAAATTATTATGATTTTTTTTAGGGAATTATTATCCCCGCAAAAGCGAACTGCCAATCGACTTAATAACCGGCTTCCTACTTACTGCTAGATAAACAGAGTCATGTGGAGCAAGGAAACTTGCTCAACGTTTCGCCCTGCCGGGAATCGAACCCAGATCTTTCGCTTGCAAGGCGAGTGGTCTACCCACTGAGCTACAGGACTCGATGAATTATACCATAATTCAATGATAAAATCACAATTATGTTCCATATGAAATCTCTTTTCATTGTACCGGTATAATGGCCTTTTATCATTTGATTAGAAACTGCCCAAGTTGCATAATTACTGAGCAGTTAGTGCATAATTTTAACTGTTGGAAATATTTTCTCTGCATTTGTAATAAAAGCTTTAGAGGTAAGAATTTTAAATTCTGTTACACTCCTACGACAAATATGGTCAAACAATGTCATGCTTTCCTTTTACGAATGTCTAATCAACAATATTTCTCAATGGGATTTCTAATTAATTTTGACCTCTGCATTGATTTTACAATTGAAATTAATTCAGAATTAAAAGGGCAACATTTCTTCTTCTGATAATTTACCAGAAACTCAAAAGTCACCATTTCCAACCTAGGCTTCAAGGGTGAACTGAGCTTTCCATTACATTGACATATCAGTTCAGTAAGAGAGGTAACCTTTGTCCCGCCTGTGAACTAAATTTGGATCCCTCCTCTGAAAGGAAGATTGAGAATTACAACACACTATCAACAACAATTTGCATTTATATAGCATCCTTCATGCAGGGTAGCATCTGGAAGCGCTTTACAGTGGCAGTCTGACTACGAGCGTATATACTGTTCTGAAGCTTACAAGATAGCAGCACCTCTTTTGGCAAGTTTCCTTCCTCCAAACATAATGCAAATACAGTCACAAACAGTCGTGGATTGAGTGACCCAATTTATTATTATTTTTCCTTGAGGCATTATTATCAGGCGTGTGGAGTAAGGAAACTTGCCCAAGGTTTCCCCCTGCCGGGAATCAAACCCAGGTCTCTCGCTTATGAGTTGAGTGCTCTAACCACTGACTCCCATCAGCAAATCATACATTTTTAACCGATTCTATTAATGTATACTTTTTCTATCTATTTGGAGCTAACATATTAATCAATTCTGCAGTCTTCCCACGTGTCTGCAATAAAGACTACACAGTTATTTCGCAAATACAAGCAGAACTCAACACAGCATATCACAGATACTTGCTGACCATAGGGAATTGTCCTTGAAGGACAAGTCTAATCCTATACTTTAATCAAATGTTCAACCAGAGGGTAAATCTTTTGGCAGTGTTAACTTGGAAGTCAAGTATTTTGACAGCAAAGTCGATGACACATTCCAAATAATCGTCACGAAAATAAACAAACTGCAATTCACGTTACATCCTGATCCTTATGGGATTTGCGCACTGAAAAGATAGCTAAAGTGAAATGTGCAAATGTGGGCCTAGATTATGATATAGTTCTCAATTTCCTGAGCAAAATCACAGCAATAGGCTGTTTGTTGACTTATAGCTGAAATAAAGCTGTTAAGTTTATTTCAGCATGTTATATGGTTCTAATATTGTGAAATAAAGCATTCAACTGTAAACCTTGAAAGCAATTATGAAAGATGTTAACACACAAGTAAATGCTGGAAATAAAACAATAAATACTGATGAGGGACAGGACCTTGTCCAGCAAGCAATTAAACTGCATGATTCAATTGGTATTAATGTTAAGTGTTTACAGTTGTGGACTAACATAATACTTTTTTCCATTCACCCTTGGTTTGTGCAGGAGTCCATTATTTGGAGTGAGTCATTCCACTCAGGTCTGTGCATCAGTCAGGTGGAACAGTGAATCGAATAAAAGATATGAGATTCTAAAGCTTCTGCATAATATGTCCTTCATGCATAGGCAAACATTAACAGCTTCAGTCAATGAAGCAAATCCATTCAGCAGGAAAGCCTGCTGGGAGACATAGAGATGATATGGTAACCCTTTCATTGACATCAACAAGGTGAAGAATATTTTTTAAAAATTATTTTAATTCCCACACCAACTTTTTTCACAATGTGGGCATCTTGACATTTCAGATCATACAACAAAACAACCCAGGTCATGGCCATCCTCTTCATAAATACCATTGATGACAGCCTGCCTGCATTTGGCCTATAGGAGGTTTGCTAGCAATGCAAGTCGCCTTGTGAGGCAGAGTGCTCTGTTACAACTAGAGATTTAAATTCAGCAACTTTTTGACAGGAACAGACTAAATTAATCCTAGTGGATTAGAGTCTTATTTTTATGATATATAGATGCAGAGAAAGTACTATTCCACTTGGATTTCTGAATTAAATTAAATGGGACGCATTCATTAAGAAAATACTTATGTACACAAGACCCTCTTGCACCTGTTCCACTGTTACATTACATTTCAAGTCACATTTAGGCTATTGCCTTGGAACTAAAAGGCAGTAGAAAATGAGTGCAGGTCTGTTAGTTGAACTTGTCTTTTGGGTAAATTTTATCATTTGCAAGCCAGGTCATTAACTGGAGAATTCTATTTCATGGGGTAAAAGGATATCCTGTTTCAAGTAACACTCATGGAGTATTTGCCAAACATGGATATGGACAATCAAGAAAATGTATTCATTTCACATGATTATTATGTGCCCAGTAGGTGTCATCTACACTAAAGAAATTATTCACTTCGGATGTGATCAGACTCTCTGTAATAATAATCCTCGCATTTACTATAGCAGCTTATTATGTTGTTGAGGCATCTCAAGGAGCTGTACTGTCAATCCCATGCAAGGAGAATACCCAAGATACTCGGGTTTCCACTGAGAGTGGAACCAGAGTAGATACTCTGCATTGTTTCTGAATATTTTCTTTGACTAGTGTAGAATAATTTCCTTCTCTCTGTCCGGTTAATATTTTTTGTTTCTGAGCTGCTCCTCAAATTAGGCACAGCGTTTTCTTATTGGGAATATTTAGATTGGGGTATTTAACTTTCATGAACTCCATTTAACGTCTACTTACTTCTCTATTTGTTATCAAGTTAATCCATTAGCACAATTTATTGATTAGAAACACACATCAAAATACCCACTCTCTCAGTTCAGCAAACAGATGAATACAATGAAAAGATATTCAATTGTTAAATAATTTAAATAATATACAGAATTCATCCAGACTATGATATTAGCTTTCATCAGATGGATAACCATCTTACAATAAGATAATTCAGAGACAGTATGGCATGAATGCACTTGAGATTATGATAGTGCAGGATCTTTGCCACAGCATGTTCTAAGCATGGTGAAGTGTTTTTCCAGAGAGTACATGGGAACAGGGGAAAGAGGAAGAAAATCAAATGATTAATAAGTCAAACATTTGGGCCAATAGCAGTCCATTCCCTAGTGCTAGTTACATGATTGGCAGAGGTCTGGTAATATACCAGCTAACCACTCTCGCTAACAATGTTTGAGGGAAGAGGTTTTTTTTGTTTTTCTTCCCTTCTCAAGCTCCTGATTTTAGGAGCAGCTTGTAAACCATTTTTTTTAAAAACTTTTATAAAAAGCTTGCAATCAGAAACAATAACTAGATATGACAAACTTATCCTCCAAGAGACATGAGAGCTTGTAGTCATTAATCGTTGCAAGCCACAAACATGTGCCATCTTTTTGGGATATCTGTTTTGTTAAAGTATATATATTTTTATATTTATATATATTCTTTTAAATCACATGAACAGGAGATGAGTGCAAGAGAATTTTGTGTGAAGCTTGAGAAGCTATAATTTTGCAAGTTTTTTTAAAAAAAACAATTACAGAACTTAATTAAGTGATTCTCGCAATGTTGGATGGTCACCTCCTCTTCAATACTATAAAAAGACTTGTACCTCTTCCAGGATATTTGATCAACTGTGAGGATCTTCAACAACTGGTGCTGAAGAACAGACTGGTTACCCTTACATCAGCAGAATGCCAGGGGAGAACCAAAATTAGCAATATTTGGAGATATTTTATTGTAATTAAATGTTGCAGCTTTAACGGAAGAGCCAATTTTCTTCCATGAGTTGTATAATAGACTAATGTTGCTGAGAATTTCAAAGTCACCAACAGCATCCAGTGGCAGAAAGAATACTTTACATTATTTATTAGCTTCTCACCTTCAAGATGATAACAAAGCATTCTTAGCTACACCACTCTCGTTTCAGAACCACTGGCAAATATTATGGATTTTGTGTGAACATTGGAATGAATAGAAATTTCCTGGGAAAAGTATAGCTTTCTACAATACAGAAACATACACTACATGGGAATGCAATATTCTCCCTAAGCAAATCAAGCCTGGTGGTCTATTGGGCTTTCACATTTTTAAAATTATTTTCTTTAAATCACTTTAAAGGCTTCTTTGTGGGTAAAGACATTTTGCAAAAGTGCAGAAATCTCACAAGCACACTTATAACTAGCAAAATCCCAGCAAATCCAAGACATCCGCATTCATATTATGTAAAGTCAGAGCTGGAAAACGACCCTCAGATTTCCTCAGCAAGGAGATACCCTTCACCAAGGTTCTTCCTACAAAACTGGAAGGCTAGAAAGAACCAAGTATGGGTGGATAACCATCTTACAATATTGAAAAGGGATACTGTTTCTTTAAAAACTGAGACAAATGCACTCTGACCGAGGCCCCACAACACCCGCAGGCAGTGCAGAACACTGTACTACTCTGATACAGCTAGTCCTGTTAAACTTATTTGGAGCATCAGTCATAAAGTATAGCATTAGCAATGTACCAATTTACCAACTGTACCATTCTGAAACTATACATTCGTAGTTGCTCTGCTGTGAAAGATGCATTATCCCAGTTGGCCTCTACTGTCCACATCATTCCTGCAGTTTAATCTCAAATGATTTGAGTTCTGTTGGGAAGGATTCTTTGATTCCAGTGGAATGGCTGCACTTGTCCTGCTATCACTACGACAAACAGCGAGTTCATCTCCTGCTCTTGCTCCCTGGGAGTCCTCATCGAAATGTCACATTTCTAGAAATGTGTAGTATTCTTTGAACGCAAAACAGGGAGAGGGTGGGCTTCCGTGTTGAAAACCCAGTAGTCCAAGGGCAAGAGGTCGTCACTAGAAAACAGGAGATACAGGTACCTGGATTTGGGGGGGGGGAGGGAGGGTGGAAATAAAAGAAAGTTTAATTTTCAAAATTTTGCTATACCTCCTCTTCTCCACCTCCCACCCCCATTTTGCTCATGCTGAAGGTACAACTTGGCATGTGGATTCACTGTCCCACCATCAGCAAATATTTCTAATACAGTTTGTAACATGGGATAAGTAATAATAATCATTATTGCACGTTAAAACTAAAAGCCTCCAGGACAATTATTTTCCAAAGGATCAAAAACTGAAATCCAACTACTGGTGAAAGATTTGAATTTGGAAGCTGATACAAGATATCTTTTAAGCAGTAATTAAAGAAATCCAGCTAGGCTTGGGATGTCCTCCCAACGTGAAAGGCACTATATAGATGTGAATTTGTATTGTATTTGTTATTTTACTCACTTTAGTGTTTCAGCTAAGAAGAAACTTTGCTGGACATCATCGTAAGCTGGAGTCGAAGAGTAAACATCTTTAACACCTGAAAATCCCCCGATCACCCGGCAATATTTGTCAATTGCCTAATAATAGAACACATTAAAAACATTACTGAAGTGACAATTTTAAGAGCTATTATAAATTGTTACTACAAGTGTCAGCATGCAGCGCCTGCTAAATAAAACATTCCAATGTAGTTAACTCACAATTCCATCAAAAACATACGTACAAGATTCATTACAGAATGACAATTGGTAAATGATAGTGTTCTATGCAAAATATTTGGAATTGGAGGTATTTTGTCATAGGGGAAATTGTAGGCAAGGTTTGCACCCGATTCTAAATAAGGTTAGAGCACTAACTGTTTGTGGTGGACACACAGTGGTTGCAAGAAGAACTTTGAGGTTGGCAAGTACTTTCCTGAAGCATTTTACTCATCTACAAAATGCATTGGAACCTAAAATGTAATAATATGACAAAATTGCCATATGGAAGTATTTCTTCTTGAGATCTATTGCAGTCAAGTCTCCCAGACATTGCTTGAATTATTTGCAGTTGTGATAACATCTTGAATTTCTCTCTTTTGACAATGTATTTTAATTCCTTGAGATGCAAATAGGACAATACCTTTGGGGCATCATGAAATAAGGTGAAGGAAATATTTCTAGGTCAGGAAGCTATTCACCTCAATTGCATGAACCTGCTTCAGTTAAGGATTTAAATGAGGTCCGACATGAAAATCTTTAAAATTGAGATGTTAAATGTCAGGAATGGTACAGGATCTTAGCATTTCACTTTAACAAATGCTCCAATATATACAATTCTAGGAATTGGGCACATTATGTTGATATTAACAAAAACTGAATATTCGCCTGAGATGTTGAGCAACCTTTTTAACAATTACCATAAATTCATTTGTTTCCTTTTATAAACACATTAAAATTACCCTTGTAAAGATTGATGGTCTTATAAGCATCCTATATTATACTAATTATTACAAGAAATCCATAAAGTACAGGGTTATCTACTGTAATGTATGTATAATAGATCTTTTTATATACATACACAAACACAGACATACATAGTATCTGAGCAAACAATTTAAATGATTAGTAAACATGCAATACAATAATTGATGTTCCTTGGAATTAATTCCTGGAGTTATTTCAGTTAAAAAAAATCTGCAAAATCCTGATCTACCATAATAATAATTCTTATACTTGCCACAGTGCTTTTACGTCAGGAGGAGTCTCATAGGATGCCTGTGTATCAGAATGGCTATGGTAGTAATAATCCTTGCATTTGATATAGTGTTTTTCACATCTTCGAGATGTCTCAAAGCGCTTCACAGAATATACCGTAAAGTGAATTGACTGTATATGTGTAGGCAAAACACAGCAGCAAGTTGCGCACAACAGTGTCCCACAAACAGTCGTGGATTAAAGTGACCAATTTATTATTTTTTTTCTTGAGGGATTATTATCAGGCATGTGGAGTAAGGAAATTTGCCTAAGGTTTCGCCCTGCCGGGAATTGAACCCAGGTCTCTAACCACTGAGCTACAGGACTCCTATACATCCCATACTAGTAGGTGATAAACCATTGCACACCCTGTCTGTTGATAATGAACCAGGAAGCACACCCCATTCGGCTGGTAATAAATTAGGGGAGGAGGTGCTTTTTGACATATAACCTATGAGGTGAGCTGTAACAGTCGAGGCCAAAACTCGTGTCAGTAGGGACACACTGCCTCTCATTTCTCACCATGCAATTCTGTTATACGCTCCAGCAAGCATTCACACTGGTGATAATCTCACAGGTGCACAACAGCTACATGTGTGTGAGGTCCTGCAGGAGATTGTGGTACCTCAGCACCTGTTTGGGAGAGAAGGGGATAAACTGTAGTACTGGTGTCTTAACTGTGAGTCACTGGTGTTGGATCAAGTGGATATCTGTGATACCACTAGAATGGTGCTTTAGCCTCCAAGTCTAAAGAATGCCCATTACTCTGACGATGCAGAAGCAGTGCAATAGATATTTACACAGCATTATAACAAGTAGAAATCAGGCACAATATTTAATGCCAATAGCAAGAAGCTATCCTGTATCAAATTAGTATAAAGTGTAAAATGTGCACCTAATAAAATTGTTGCGCATCATTTTAAGGACTGCCATAACACATTTGCCTGGAATTGTATAGACCTTTTGGTTCATTATAATAATAAACCTTGCATTTGGTATAGCACCTTACCACATCTTCAAGACGTCTCAAAGGGCAGCCAATCAGGAGAGCCTCAGTCTTGCTGACGTTCAACTGAAGAAAGTTAATTCTCATCCAGGACTTGATGTCTGACAGACATTCTGTCAGCACAACAGTGGTCCTGGAGTCAAGGGTGGAGGCAGAGAGGTAGAGTTGGGTATCTTCCGCATACATGTGGAAGTTGACCCCATGTCTGTGGATGATATCACCAAGAGGGAGCATATAGATATTGAAGAGGAGGGGACCAAGGACAGAATCCCGAGGAACTCCGCACGAGACAGTGCGCGTGCTAGAGACAGCATTTGAGGAGATGAAGTGCAGGTGGTGTGAGAGGTACGAACTGAACCAGTCAAGGACAGAACGATGGAGGTTGAGGTGAGAGGAGATGGAGGATAGAGTGGTCGACGGTGTTGAAAGTAGCAAAGAGGTCAAGGAGGACGAGAAGGCAGAGGAAGCCCTGGTCGCAGATGAACAGAATATCATTTGTCACTTTGACCAGGGCTGTTTCTGTGCTGTGGTGGCACGGAAACCAGATTGGAGGGGTTTGAGAAGGGAGTGTGGGGAGAGGAAGGAGCGAAGCTGAGAAGCAACAACTCGTTCCAGGACCTTGGAGAGGAAGGGGAGGTTGGAGATGGAGTGGCAGAGGCAGCTGAGCGGATTACCTCGATTTTGGATTCGAGGAAGTCCAGCATCGCCTCGCAGTTGGTATTTTAAATACAATAAATGCCTTAAAGTAAACAGTAAATACACCCATGTTTCGTCCACAAAATATACAGTCAATCCTTTTTACAGTATATTGTGTGAATATAGGCGTCTCAAAGACATAATAAGGTGCTATAATAAACGCAAGGATTATTATTATCTTGCCCTCTAGTGTATTGTCCATTTCTATAATTTTTTTCAAACAGCCAACTGGATTTCACCATCTCACATGATCAAACTTCTTGCAGTCCAAGATAACAATGCTTGCTCTGTTTTTTTAATTCTTTTAATTCTTATAAGTTAATGCACACAAGATGGAAACACACAATATGGAAGAAAATGCTACAGGTGAAATACTATTCTGTGCTGTGTAAACACAAAGTTTGGGTTTATGGATCTGTTTTGATGTTCGGACCTGAAAAATACCAACCAGTTGCCTCACACTGAATTTAATTCAAATTCAGAAGCCCCAAATAAAAAACAACTTGAAAAGTGCAAGACCTTCCAATAAACAATGAGCATTTTATCCAAAGTTTCAGCATATCTGAGACTTCATAAAGAGATATTACTGTGTTTTATCGAGTCCCAATATCCAATTATTAGTTTGCAATAAGCATTAGTCTTCTTCTGGCAAAAACTGCACATTCACTTTATCATCATCAAACGAGCCTGCAGTTAGATAAAAGGTGATATTTTCTTTGCCGTTGGAATCACCCTATACAAAGATTTGAAAGATGAGCAGAAAGGAAATCACTGCATGCAGGTGAAGGTGGAATGAGCTGACAAATGATGTGCCACCTTCAGTGCTAAGAGACAGGATCATCAACTGACACAAAACTGCCCATTTATCTTTTCATTGCAAGTTTGCTTCATTTACAAACATTTGGCTTTTTGACTTAATAATTACATCCAAACTGCTGGGACGGGTTAAACCAGGGTGGTCCAACTGGCGTGACAAGGGCCACGCCTGGGCCGCGAACAACTTTCAAATTCATCCCTCCCTGCCTCCCTTGTGAACTGACTCTCATAGCAGCTGCAGGAGCCAGCAGTTGGGATGACTCAGTAGGTAACAAGACCCGCGTGTAAGACACACTGCAGCAATGAGCAGCATTATTTCCACTCCGTGCAGCTCAATGCACTGAGGGGAAGGCAAGCGGGTCTCCTTACCAACCTCGTCCTCCCAACTGCTGGCTCCTGCTGCTTCCAGATAGTGAGCCGCCCGCACATGTGGCCTTTCCAGCAACCGGATAGTGAGCCACGAGAGATAGAATGAGAGAAGATGAGAGAGAGCGTGTGACAGAGGGAGAGTGTGTGAAAGTTTGAGAGTATAATAATAATATAATAATTCTTGCATTTGATATAGCGCTTTTTACTGGAGAGATAGACTGTAAAGTGAATTAACTGTATATTTGTGGGTGAAACGCGGCAGCCAATTGCTCACAGCAGTGTCCCACAAACAGTCGTGGATTGAAAATTACCAATTTATTGTTGTTTTTTGTTTTGGAGGGATTATCATTAGGCGTGTGGAGTAAGGAAACTTGCCCAAGGTTTCGCCCTCTGCCTGGAATTGAACTCAGGTCTCTCGCTTGCAAGGCGAGTGCTCTAACCACTGAGCTATAGGACACCACAGTGAGAGTGAGTGAGAGTTGGGGAGTAAGAGAGAGAATAAATGAGAATGTGTGAGAGAGGGAGAGTGTGTGAGAGAAAGGAGAGGGAGAGTGATTGAGAGTGAGCGAGAAAGCACAAGGGAAAGGGGGAAGCTGAAGAAACGGAGAGAGAACAGAGAGACTTGGACCATCCTGGGTTAAATGATAAAAGGCAGTTTAAAAGACTGACAATACTCTTTGATACTTCAATCACATCATCTCAAGAAAACTTGATCCCACTGAACACCATTAGGAGTTTTATAAAGTCTATATCTGCAGTGAAGGAATACTGTGCAGATATTGTTTGAAAAACTACATATGAAATGCATTTCCTCTCCTGCAGCCAAAACATTCCAAACCCAAAGTCATTAAATTGGAAGAGCAATGTACTACTCTCCATGTCTGAATCCATCTGCTAACACTGGAGAGATGTAAGTTGGCTGTTAGTCCTCTGCAAAGGAGTATCACAAATGGTGGAACACTTAAGTTAGGCCTCCATACACATCCCTTGAGTACACGTAGAGCAGCTCTAACTGGAAAACATTCTGCATCAATTCAAAAGCAAACTTCAAATATCAACTGGGAAGCTTCACACTCAGTTTCTGCCCATGGAATCTTGCCACACTCTGTAAGTGCTGCTCTCTGTACGTTTTTCCCCTTATATGTAGAATGTAAACATATGAGGTAACAGTGATTGGCATTGCTGGAGCACTCCTAAGGTTATGAAAAATTGCTAATTTGAACAGTTGTATTCAAAGACATTGTTTTCCAAGTTTTTCTTGTAGGTAACCTACCAGGATCAAATTTGTAAAAAAATCTGTCGTTTTCAGATTTTTTTCCCCTCAATCTTCCCACCATTGATTTTAAAAGTTGTTTTCACCAATACTATTCCATAAAAACAAACATTTTATGTACAGAAAATGCCACTGGACCCATCAAATATGTGCCCCTTTTAATTTTTACAACCAATTTTTTTTCTAAATCTCTCTCGTTTTATTATTTCCCCATATCTATTCCTGAATTCATTTACATATCAGGTACCTAACCAATCAATTCCCCTTTGAATGATTTGTATTGATCCAGCCTCAATAATAATAGCCACTTGTGGTAATGAATTCCAAACCTGAACAACCATCCGAATGAAAAATTGGTCCCGGCCTTTCCTCTATTTTTCTAATAATCCTAAAACTATACTCCCTTGTGGAGTCCCATAGCACAGTGATTAGCGCACCCAGGGCGAAATCTTAGGCAAGTTTCTTTACTTCACACACTTCTGTTTACTTAGCAGTAAGTAAGAACCCGGTTGTTAGCCGATTGGCGGATCCCTTTCCAGGGTAATAATCCTTAAAAAAAAAATTGGGTCATTCAATTTACAACTGTTTGTGGGTCACTGTTGTGCACAATTAGTTGCTGTGTTTCACCCACAAAATACAGTTAATTCACTTTACAATATATTCCCTGAAGAACTTCGCAACATCTCAACGAAGTGATAAGCCACTATATCAAATGCAAGGAATTTTATTATCTTGATTAATAATAATCCTTGCATTTGATATAGCACCATATCACGTCTTTGAGATGTCTCAAAGTCCTTTACAGAATATACTATGAAGTGAATTGACTATATTGTGGAGTCCTGTAGCTCAGTGGTTGGAGCACTCGCCTCGCAAACGAGATACCTGGGTTCGATTCCCAGCAGGGTGAAATCTTAGGCAAGTTTCCTTACTCCACACGCCTGATAATAATCCCTCAAGAAAAAAAAACAATAGTAATTTGGTCACTTCAATCCACGACTGTTTGTGGGACACTGCTGTGCGCAATTAGCTGCCGCGTTTCACCCATAAATATACAGTCAATTCACTTTACAGTATATTCTGTGAAGTGCTTTGAGATGTCTAGAAGCCATGAAAAGCACTATATCAAATGAAAGGATTATTATTATTATATATTTTGTGGGTGATTCCCTAACTTAAGAAAGTAGTTTTTCCTTGGTATCCTGTCATACCCCTTAAGGCCTTTAAAAATAAAAATGTTTTCCTTTCATCTTAAAATTCACCTGTTTACTAGCTGCAAACAATTCTACTAGAAATTCCTCTTTTTGAGTTCTGAATATATAAATCTCTCCATATATTTGTTTTTAAACATTTACCTGCACAGTAAGGCTTTTTTCACAGCTTTCTCTTTTGCAGATTTTGACAAGTTTCTGCCATTAGAGTTTGTGTGTGTGCGTGTGGAGGGAGGGGGGGGGGACGGACATGACAGGCTTACTTTGGACCATAACCAGAAAATGAACTCAGAATATGGGCTGCAAACAGCCAGCGGTGACAGTGACTGTTAAAGATCTTTGGGGATATATTTGAAGGTTACTAGTGTAACATTTAAGGTGATCCTGGAGCTTTGAGTAAATGATGGATATATTAGAATTCATACAGATGGAATCCAGGAAGTTACTTTTCATTACAGTAGAAAGATTGCCATTAAAACCAGCTTACTTTAACTCATTTCCTGATGCTGAATTTCACAAAAAAATTAGTTACCAGTTTTTGCAAAGGCTCAAGGGGGAAAAATAGGGAAAAAAAAACTTAATTCTGATACAGAACTGTATTGCCTGTTCAAAAAGCTAACTATTCTGTAATTCTATAATAAACAAGTCTATAAACTGAAATAGCTAGGCTTGTTATTCTGTGTAGAGTGAGGTTATGGTGGACCAATGAGTTTCAGATGTGTATTTGGATTCTTTTCCCTCTGCAGATGTATTGTTCTGCTTAAAATAAATCTGGGAACTAGAAAGGGTTGGCATAGGGAAAGAGTTTGGCTTTTCTGCAAAAATAAAATCGAGCAGTTCATGGTTTATTTCTGCAAAGGTTGAAAACTGTCTATAACAAAGACAGCAGACTGATATAAAAAGGTTTCAAATGAATGAAGAGGCAAAAATGTGCATCTCAAAACTCATATCTCTCAGAAAAGGTCAGAGGTAGACAGCCATATCAGCAATCCTGAAATGAACAAAGCCTATGTGCAGGGAATTTAAATGAAGCACTGATCCAAATACCATTTCTTGTTGATGAGATGAATCACGTGATCAGGTTTCAATTTGGAGTTGCAAACTCTTTTTGCTTACCTCTTTGTCAATGTGGGTTTGCACAAATTATTTTGCATTAATTATCATTCATATAATCTGAGCATTCTTCAGCAATAGGTTTACATTTCTCAGACAGCACATTCCAACTGTCTAACAAAATTGATCTTCATTTCAGAATTCGTCAGCAGTCTTTTGTAAAGCAGGACATGAATGATAATAATAATAATCCTTGCATTTGATATAGCGCTTTTCACATCTTCTAGACGTCCCAAAGCGCTTCACAGAATATACTGTAAAGTGAATTGACTGTATTATTTGTGGGCGAACGTGGCAGCCAATTGCGCACAGCAATGTCCCACAAACAGTCATGGATTGAAAGTGACCACTTTATTATTGTTTTTTTTGAGGGATTATTGTTAGGCTTATTATTATTATTATTAATAATAGTCCCTCCAAAACAAAAACAATAATAAATTGGTCATTTTCAATCTACGACACTTTGTGGGACATTGCTGTGCGCAATTGGCTGCCGCGTTCGCCCACAAATATACAGTCAATTCACTTTACAGTGTGTTCTGTGAAGCGCTTTGGGACGTCCTCCCGACGTGAAAAGCGCTATATCAAATGCAAGGATTATTATTATTATTATTATTATAGGCTCTGTGTGGAGTAAGGAAACTTGCCCAAGGTTTCGTCCTGTCTGGAATTGAACCCAGGTCTCTCACTTGCAAAGCGAGTGCTCTAACCACTGAGCTACAGGACACCACGAATAATCGTGTTGATGGTATCATTCAGTTAAGAGCTTCACTTGATTTGTAACGTAAATAGCTTTTTGTTTTAAAAAAAATCTAGTGTTAAATAGTCAATATGTATCGATATCTTTTCCAATCTTTCCAAATGTGAAAACCGCCCTTTGGTAATGTATTAATTTCTTATAATCCAAAAATGTCATAGTAAATCAGAGTTGGTAGAGCTCTCATTAAAAACCAGAAAGCAACTGCAGCAAACACAAGAAAATCCGAGCATTGTTATGAACATAGTAACTATTGGAATACTATACTATTCCGTTTATATTTTGGTATAAAATACTGTTACAATTTTTTAAAATGTTAAATTGTAGCCCGTAGAATGGGATTATCTCCATTATACCCATTCACCATTTGTGTGTTGCTGGCCTGCTTGCCACCTGCCAGCTTTCGCATTAAGTTCAAGGTTACTGCTGTAGTGGTCTCAGTCATGTAGTTACTGAGCCACATAGGTGTACTGTATTCCAAAATACTGCTGTTGACAGACCAGCCTGTCTGGCTAATCGGAGTTGGAGGGCAGATACTGGAAGCAGGGATTCTTTACACTTAGGTATTTTTCACTCTGCAAGTCAAAGCCCTAAACGAGGATGGGTCTGGCTGGATTAGCAGCGGAAAGCTTGCGAGCCAGTGCACACAATGACAAGCTCTGCAGTTCTGGCTATAATTTTTCTCAATATTCCTTACCTGGGCTGCCTCCCAGCCCCATTGCCTATATTTGGGATCGTGCGTGAACCTCCACATATACCAGTAGGTCTCTATCACTTCTGGCCGGAGGATGTAGTACTTCTCATTTTGTCTCAGCGCCACTGCTTCTGTCCCACCATCAAGTTTAAATGCCTCAGGACCCAGCTTCAGCACTGTGGAAAAGAAGATGAGGGAAAGAAATATTCAAAACAGTATTAAAGCAAATAGACACTCCCAAGCTTCAAGATTTTGACCTATTTGCCTCCAATTCTTAAACCTCTGTCAATGTGTAGCTGAAAATAGGCATGACGTCATTCCCATTATGGTGAAGAACTTCACAAAGGAAACACGGCTTTTGATTTTGTTTTGTTATATTGTACAGAAATGTTTTTTTTTGTATTGTGCTGTTTTCAAAACTGGTTTTGATGAATTTAATGCTCAAAGAATTGCTAGAATTTCATTCTATTCCATTCCACTCCCAGAGGCGATTAAACACCCGCTTTGTCAATAACACCAAGCGCTTGATGTGCTACTTTAGACGCAAAACTCTAGTCAACTGGGAACAAAAGATTCATTTCTGCCCTACTCACTATGGGAAAGGGAATTGAGATCACAGCTCCAGCAAGGACAATATTCCCAGCAACGTGGTACAAATCAACCAAGGAAAAGCTTAACAGAGGAGACATTGAACCCATTTGTTAGACTTTGACTTAAACCTTTGTACATGTCTACTTCAATAAGCATTACCCCATTTGACAAAGAAGAGATTCATCCTCAGTGCCCAGAGCAAAATTTGGACCAGGTCTTAAAGTTGATAGGGCATTGTGCTAATTAATGTTAAATTCAGATAATCAAAATCCTCAAGTGTTCAGTTAATGGGCAGAAACGTGCAATCAGCATAAAATACTAATTAACATGCAAATGAATTCCCTCTCTGAAATTCTATATTGTCCTATTATGTGATCATAAACATCTTTCAGGTAACTACCTCTTACCTGTTCTATCATATGACTGATGACAGGTGTGGGCAATTTCAGCACCGAGCTGCAGATAGTGACCAGCTTTATCATCTGGGGACCCGTCTGCTCCTAAAGCAAACATCCCCCCAGCAAAACATGTTAGATGCCCCATCTTTCTCTCCAGGTGACCGTTCTTCCACTCACCAATGAAAGTCAAACCACTGTTTGACTTTCTGATCAGATGCTTTTCAATAGCCTGTTGGATATGTAACATATGGATTAGAAAAATATCTGACATCATTCAATTTCTTTTAACCATCGCAGTCAGCCACTGAAGAAATGACCAAAGGACAGATGTCCAAACAAAACTCTACAAATTGATACTTAAATTCAAAAATTCTTGACAAATAACCAAACTTAAAACTGGTAAACTGAGTTGAGTATCAGGAGCAGAATAAATGTATAATAGAAGTGAATTAATATAATTATTTCCTGCTATCTTACAGAGCTTCTGAATTTGAATTCGAAATGTTTAATTGTGTCAGTGCAGTAAAATAGTGTTTACATTACCTGAATGGCATCGTCATACATCTTCCTTGCCTCGGTATCAGTCTTATCTGACACCAACCAGGCTTTCAGTAAATATTCGTAAAAGCTGTCTCCCAGTCCACCAACGGAGGTATGATCTACACAGACATGGAAAAAAATACACTTTAAAACATTATGCAGTGTGTTCATCTACAAATAATATGTTTTGTTGCTGTATTTTCAATGCACCTCAGAGGGTCCTGTGTAGTTTAGTGACTGTGTATCTGTCAACAAGGCGACAAAAGGCCAGAGAGGCAGCAATTGAGCCATGCGTTAAGAGCAAATTTGAGTAACAGAGGCTTCTAATGATTATCCCGTGATTGTTGCTGCACAGCACGCATGTAGACAAGATTGGACTCCAATGCTCTTCATAATTGAATAGACAATCACCATTTACTATCTGAACCTGTCCATGGGCAAATGAAAGACAACTGCCCTACTCCTGAGATGGTACCCCCTGTAACCAAGACCTCAGCCCTCACCTTCTATTGTTGCTTGGATTAGGAACTAAATGGAGCAAGATTGAAATTCTGTTTCTCTTGGTGGTAAGAATCTGTGCTTTACCATTAAATTCAAATCATGCCATTCCAAGAATAGGAGCTTTGAATAAGGTATAATGGGTGGAATGCAGGGTCCAAACCCAGCCAGATGTAACACTAATTTAATCACGGTGTAATCCAAAGTACAGCACCAGAAAGCAGTCTTGAACTTCAAATTTGAACAGTTTTTTTAAAATCCATTTTGGACAGGTTAACCTGTGATTTCAAGGAGCAATAATCTTGCACACTGATCCAGCTCACCAAAGACCTTTCCCTATTGACAGGGAAATCAACAAACAAGAGTGAAAAATGATTCATTGGGATCATGATGGATCTTCCACTAATCATGTTCAGCTTTACCATGCGGGGTGAATTGACACATCTGTTTTCCTCACAGGAAATTTTTTTAAAGAGAAGCTACACCAGAAACACGCCCATAGAATTAAAGTATTCTAAGACAACCCGGTTACATTATGTTTCCAATATAATCTTTTGTAATTCCTGAAATATTTCCTTTAATTCTTCAGTATAAATGTAATCATAAATAGTGTGCAGTGGCATCAAGCTTCCAAACAGAGATCCAGTTAAAAAAAATCAGAGTGAAAAACATAAAATTCTTCCTCCAAATATTAAAAAATGTAACATATCCAGGTGGTATTTGAAAGGACCAAGTTAATCTTGTTGTTCAGATGTTTAGCTTTGATGCCAGCTTTTCAAAGGTTTATTCATTTATACTCATTTTTATTTATTATTATTAAACTGTAGGTGATTCCTAATTTCCAGAAATTTACAAATGAATTCACTGTTTCTCTAGTAAAATAATTTGATAGTATATATTTATACATACTGTATGTGTGCAGACATTCTCTAACAAACAGCAATTTTACAGAGCAAAATGTTTTACAGCAATACTTTTCTTTTTAAAACAACACTTCCAGCATTCTGGGGAGGACAATGAAATTGTAGCTGAGTGGGTTTGCTAAATCTATGCAGAGGGGGTACTGGGAATGCAGAGAACAACACGGAATGCTCTATGTAACTGGCTCCTATCTAGCAAATCAGATAGTCTTTATACACTTACATAATTCAGGTCCAGCTAAGGAATATGCTGCACAGAACAAAATGATAAAATAAAAAAAATCAAAACTACAAGTATATTCAAAGGAAGAGACAAAAGGTGTGGTATGATACATTGCATTAAGACACTATTAGAAACGATTTGTTCACCTATTAAGGCTCTGGTAAGCCATGAACGTAGAACTGAAGAATTTTTAAAGATACAAATAAAACTAAATCGTACAAAAATTTGCTTGTGATTTCGTTTTTCCTCTTTAGTTGTACACTACATCTTCCCTCGGCTAAGGAAGGATAACCTTGGTTGCTAGCACCTCTACAGATGTTGCCCACAATGTAGCCCACAATGTCCCAGAAATTGATAAGAAAGTACATATGTGAAGAAATTGTCACTCTCTCTTGCGCACTTTTCCCAACCCCAATATAAATGGACAGAATACATGCAATAAGGCATTCCATTTAACATTCATTCTTCTTCTTCCAACCCCAGGAACCGACTAGGTGCTGAGCCTTTACACAATTTAATCAGTGGCATTTTATTATCAAGTAACATGCAGCTAGATTTAAGCAAGGCCTGTCGCATAAATAAGGCAATTGAATAAATGACCGGCAGTCCTGGTAAACCTTAGGTCTAAAAGAAGTCTTCGATTGTCTTGGGCACCAAAGTACATCAGATACCCTTTATCCTTAAATTTAGTGCGAAGGTTTGTGTCCAGAAGAAGCAACTACAATAGAAGCTTCAGGTAATGTATTAATTTTCCAAGATATATATTTTCATATTTGTGAGAGGGTGAACAAATGTATTCAGTTTCAAAGCTAAGTGGCAATTATATTGCACATTTTCTGCCAAAGCGCTGCGAGTGTGATACTGATTTTTTTTAAAACAAAAACTGCACCATAAATCAGGCATGAGCCAGTATTAATTGGACCCTAGAGGGGGTTATTCCAGGAGCAGTTCAATTTCCAGTTGGCTACTGGACAGCTCAAAAACTTTAAAGTGATTACTTTTTTAATTTTTAAAAGACTGACACTCTGCTTGCTCCATGGTTGCAAATATGCAGAACTCTGAAACTGGGTGCAAGTATGTTTTTTGTAAAAACATATAGGGCCAGTTCAACCAACTCAATGTCAACAGGAAGTATAAGTCAGTCTTCCTATTACAGTATTTTGCTCTACTGCAGAAAGCTTTCAGCAGTATAAACATCATTAAATACGTTCTACTGAATTCTACAAAATAACTAACCAGTCAATTAAACCAAGAGAAAGGAATGTTGCAGCAAAATTCTACGCTCAGTTCAACTGTAGATGAAAGTCTCATCTGGTATTGTTCATATCAAATAGAAATCTTGCACACATAAGCTGTTGACTGAGGAGGAGGCTTGCACACCAACTACAACACACTGTTTAAGGCCAGAAAGCACAATAAAGTAGGTACAGATGGAGACAATAACAACAACAAATTACATTTTGTATAGTGCCTTTCACATCAGGAATAGGTCCCAAAGTGCTGGGCAGTCAGGGATCCGCCCCCAAGCTGGTGGTTGGGATCAGGAGGGGTGGAGGGCGGTGAGGGTAGGGATAGGAGGGTCACCGAAGGCACAATCAAAGAAGAGGGTCTTGAGACTGGTCCTGAAGGAGGCAAGGGAGGGGACGAGGCGGAGGGACTGTGGGATAGAGTTCCAGAGGGTGGAGGCAGAGATGCTGAAGGCTCGCCTGCCAATAGTGGGGTGGGCAAGGCGGGGGACGTGAAGCAAGCCAGAGCCCACTGAACGGAGGGAGCGGACAGGTTGGTAGGGGGTTAGGAGATTACAGAATAGGAAAGAGCAAAGCCGTGGAGGGCTTTGAAGCCGAGGACCTATATACGCTTGAACTATATACGCTGAACTATATACGCTGAGTGATGGGGAGCAAATGGAGCCGAGCAAGGATGGGGGTGATAGGGTCCAGGAGCCTGATCCAGGAAAGGAAACGGACTGCAGAGTTCTGGATGATTTGCTGTTTGTGGAGGGAGGAGTTGGGGAGACTCACAAGCAAGGAGACAATGCTACCTTTTAAATACCTCAAATGTTTACTGCAATACCTGAATGACAAATCGCTCCTGTACACTTAATGTATACAATGTCTATATAAGATTTACTTGGTGACTGCCAAATGTTTATGCATAAGGTAATCAGTGACTGGAGCAAGCTGCCAGAAAAGGTAGAAGCCAGGTTACCAGATTCATTTAAAAAGCAGCAGATGCAGTGATAGATGGAGAACAGTAGTGTGCTGGGGGGATGAAAAAGGATGGGTTGAATGGCCTTCTTGATCCAGACCAATCTTGTGAAAGGCATCCACAAATTCCCAACTCATACTCCCAAAAGGGTCTAACACCATTTTGGCATTCAATCGTGTATGATGGTCTGTTTGGCTGGTGTTGTGATTGCCAAGAAGGGCAAGATACCATTTTCTTTCACTCAAAAAGGAAACAATTTCTGCACTGCAATCTCTTCAGCTAATTGTCACAAATTGTCAATGAAATGTCACAATACTGTTTCAGATAAATTAAAAGCAATGCCAATCATGACTTCAAATGGGAAAAGAGTGTAACAATCAAAAAAGTGTTTGGTAAGTTTACACTAAGTTTTGTCATTCATATATTTCAATAGCCTTAAATTGTAAACTATGCAATCGCTTGGGCTATTCAGATGTTCCAGTTTACTGGTGCCCTGGTCTACAAACCTAGTGTTATTATTATGTTTTCTCTGCTTCACAATCACACATTTTATATCTCAAGATTAATCCAAATCTTGAAAAGTATTCCACTATCAAAATCATAATGCACAAAAATTCTGTTAGAAAGAAGGAATTGGGGCAGTAAATGAAGTTGAAAATGTAGCAATTAGTAGGAGTATTGAAGCTAAGCTTAACAAAGAACCAAAAAAAATTACAGCTTTGTTCCAGACCTAGATGCTAAGCATCTTCAAATAATTGTTGACTTTCAGCTGAAAATGATACCTTTCATTGATAATAGCTAGAATCTGTTTAATGATTTGTGTTCTCTAAAATGATTTGGAAAATTTTCTTTTCCCAACTGCAGTATAAATTTGATACTGATATGAATATTTAAGATTTTACTACTGTCTAAGAAGCCAGAATGCATCTTCCTTTTGAATGTTATATCTTTGAAACCTCAAACCACCTTCTAGTGACAATTCTGTGGTAATCTATTTGCTGCAATAAAAATGCAACACTTTGGCCTTATTTTAAGAATGAATACTTGCATTTATAAAGCAGCTTTCATGTAATATTGGAAGACAGAAAAGGGGGAAAAACACAAGTAAGAAAAGCATTAAGATGACCTGATGGTAATCCTGTATTCAAAAGGAAATTGGATAACACTTGAGGAACAAGCAATGGAAAGTATGAGGAACTAGTAGAATAGGATTACAGCATATAACCATTGTAGATATATAATACTTGTATATGATATAGCGCCTTATCTTGTCTTTAACACGTCTCAAAGCGCTTCACATTCATATTGCATATATATCTGCCACTCTTCACTTTGTGGCTTTACAAAGCCACATACAAATGCAGCACTAATTCTAGCTCTTTGAGCACAATATTAATTTTCTTTCTTTAAGCTCCTTCAGCTTCTAGATTTTATATGTAGGTCGCAATATGAATATTGAGATTTTGTTACTCGATGGAGAACAGCAAGTGCAAGGAGGTAACACTAAATTTGTACAAGGTAGGTTACAGTTGAGTGCTCCACATCCAGTTTTTGGCACCTCATTACATAGTTGTATAGAGTTACACAATTACAACTAGTTATATAGAACTTTGGACAGACCTCATTTAGATTACTGTGGTCAGATTTTAGAATACAATCTTTATAATAGTTAGCTATATGCTGTCACCCTATTCTCCTACTATTTCCTCATACCCTCGAATACTTGTTCCTCAAGTGTTATCCAGTTTCCTTTGTAAAGCTGTTATGGCCTTAGCTTCAAAAGCGCCCAAGGATATAATAGTCTTGAAGGGTGTCCAGCTTGATTAATACATACATTGAAGGGGCTAAGGTGTGATGAGAGGCTGATTAGAAAGGGGTTGTATACTTTATTTTAAACAAAACCCACTGATTCTCAACTGTAGAGATAAATTATTGAGTAGTAGAGATACTAAGGGATATGGCAAATGGCCGAGGCATTAGAAATTAAAAAAAACTGACAAGATCTAATAAACTGGTGGAGCATGCTTGATGGGCTGAAACCCTCGTTGTGTTCTTGTTTTGCTACATTCCTATTGTATATGAAAAAATCACAGCCATGGAAAGAGTGGAGAATCATACCATGTGTGAAAAGTTAGTTTTATGGATGATCTTGAAAAGTTGGAACTTTTTCGCTCTAGCAGAGAACAATAAAGGGAAATCCACTGGAGATTAATAAAATTATGCATAGTTTTGATAGAGTAAATAAAGAGACTATTTCCCATGATAAATGAAACTAATAAATAGGCATAAATTGAAAATGATGAGAAACAAGGGAGAGGTTATAAAAGACATTCTTTCACAGAGGGTTGTTCGAATGTGAAATGTCTTACTACAAATGCTGTTGAAAAAATGTATATAACAATAAAAAGGAAACTGAATTACACTTGAGGAAAAATACTACAAGTCATTGAGAAAAAGCAAGAGAATGGGATTAGAGCAAATAAACTTAATTCTGTGCCTTTGATGATCAATTTCAATTTTGTCAAACAGTTTACAATCAAATCAGTTGAGGTAGATTCTGAACTTAATTCCCTGTATATAAATTTAAACCTTAGATGGGCATCTTGAAACTGATATGTGATATTTTTGCCACATTGCTTAATACGTCTGTATATTGAAAATAGATTTTAGATTTACTGAACATTCCCTTCTCCACATGACCACTAGGTTGAGCTGTTTCAGAGATGTACTTAGTCTGCCTTATAAACCAGAATATTAATCTTTTTAGGTTCCTTCAACTTCTGTCTGAATCATACTGATCATACTGACAAAAGCACGATTCAGACCAAATCCAAATCTCCCTGTATTATTCTGTAAATGTAAAACAGGATTTGTTTTGTGCTGAGGGGCTGCTTAGACAAAGGTGGAAATCAGAAAATAAACATCTGGATTTTAAGGAAACAGCATCATGCAATTTACATCAGACACTAAAACTATATATATTTTTAAATACATTCAAGAGCCACACAGTCTACTAAAAATAGAAAAGCACTAAAAATGCAATACAAAATTAAATTTTATAGCGCCTTTTACGTTCCAGGGCACTGGACAGTCAGGGATTTGGACCTGAGCAAATTGATTAAGTGGATTATACTGTGACAGCTGTCATCCTGATTAATGTGACAAATAGACAAAATGGTACTCACGTTGGCCCCACCGCCCAGTCCTTGGATTAAGGTAGTTGGGGTACAAGCCATTAGGTCTATCCATCTTCTGCAACAGCTTCCGAATATGCAACACCTGCAATTAGTTTCAATCATGAGTTTCATTCATTATTTCTCCTCAATTATCTGTGTTGAATTAATCCTTACTTTACTATTCTATTTTCACAAATAATCTCTTAATTCTTCCCTTTCCCCCTCCCCCAGACATATTCTTCAGATGAAAGGACAAAGCGATCCAAGTGTGCTACTCAACAATCAATCCCAATCCTGTCCTCATCCAATGTCCACAAAAACATAAATTCTATTAGGAAATTGCCATCTAGATGACAATGAGTAGCAAGAATCTTGTCCTATTTGTCCTTTTCCTAACTCACGGGCACAAAGGCAAACTGCAACTCCTCAAGTGATTACCACGGTGGCACGAGCTATCTCAGCATAAAGATCAGAATTTGCAACCTTCTGGTTTGTACTGCCCGTTGCTGTATCTCTACCTATTAATGCATCAGGGAAAACTTTTCAATGAGATTTTCAAAGGTAAGAAAATGCCAGCATCAGAGCAATGTTTTTCAAGGAGAAGCAATTTCTAAAAATTACAATTAGTCTGTTTATATTGAGTTCCACTTCACTTGCAAAAATAAACATGATAATTCAAATCACAGTTCAGGTCTGAATTTTATGCACTTTTCATTTGTAAAAAATATGGTAATACATTCTTGAACATCTACAGAAAAAAATCTCATGGTAAAACAGTCCCTCAGAAGTCTAGCATTTTGTGTGTTGCAGTAAGTTTTCTGTGACACAGGATGAAATATAATCTTAAAAAAGGGAGTGGTAATGGTCAGTATTCTTACATTTCAAAAAGGATAGTGTATTGTTTTATATAACATGCGATTGCACACACTTACTTTGTTGTAGTAGACGGAGTCCCCGGTCAAGTAGCTTAGATGCACAAATTCCAAATGCAGAGTTCCAAATTCAGACAAAATGCTACTCCCAGCAGATGCCCAGCCCCAATTCCGTCCAACACCACTGAAGGTGCAAGAACGCAGCAAAAGACAAAAAAAAAGCACAAACAGAAGAGCAAAGCAAGTTAGCAGGTTAGTATAACATCCAAAACTGCAAGCACACAGTTTGTAGTGTTTCCTCAAGGGCAATATGATTCTTTTTTGGGGGGGAGCAACCTCCCAAAATAAACACCTGGCATCATATTTACCAATACCTTCAGTTGCTATTAAATCTACACACTGTAATTTCTATCTTGTCTGCTTTGAATTTTCTTTGCTGGCTAGTTAGCAAATGAAGGTTACTTCGGATCTGGTAATAGTAGCCCATAAACCAAATCAAATTTTAAACAAAAGCCACACTGGGAGCTCTGAAAATCCCAATATGTCGAATAGATTATTACATTTCCATTTTTAATATTCACCTTTTCAGGGGGTTGGGAAAAAGGGCCAACATTCAATCTCCTTGGTACATCAGTTTAAAAATCGCAGCCTGTTGCATTGATCTTTTCAAAGAGTTAACGAGATCAATTAAATTCTTCACATCCACCTTCTGACCAAATCATTTTGAACAACCCTCAAGATTTTAATCATCAAGATTGAGGTTGCTGACTGTCTCTCACCTCAGGACATCCTCCCGCCATGAAAGGCATTTTACAAATGTAATTTGTTGTTGTTGCTCCGTTCTCCTGCAACACCTAAATGCCTGCGGCATAGGTGCAGGTAACCAACTTTTGGAGGGCCGTTTAGATTGATAATAAAAAGCTATCCCTGTTCAATAGTAGCTTATAGTGTGTAACAGAGAGCAGATTACTTCCACTGGTAGAATGCCAGCTAATACAGTGTTTTACAATCTGTTCATTCCAGCCAGTGAGTGAAATACTGCACTATTGCTCCTCCTTCAATGCATCTTTGCCAGAGATATGATTAAAGTGAAATGTCAATCAACACATCTAATACTTAGAATTCCCATTCCCAGTTCATTTGCTCATTTAATCTACCCAATAAAGCCACCTTTGTAGTGAATGTTTTCCACATGCTGATGGCAGTAATCGATTGTTGTGGAGAGAGACAGGCTGTCCACACCATCCAATTTTCTTTAAAATAGTAACCAACTACTGTACTCTCAGCAAAATTGGATTTATTGTCACTAACGGACGCCCTGTTGCTTTTAGGTTGATGGAGGTGGGACGGAAAAAAAGGAGCTGTGTGTCTTCCATTTACCAACTCAAAAGCACTGACACTTTCAACCATTTTGAATAAATAAAATCCGCTGACTGTTAGTGGGTTTTAATTATTCAAATGGATTAGACACAGAAAAGAAGGCAATAACTCAAGACACAAAAGGGATTCAAAGCAAGGAGAAATCAAGGTTTAGGAACAGGAGAAGGAAGGGAAACAAAAGAAGCACAAGTCTAATATCAGTCAATTCTCAAAGAGTCTTATTTCCTCTCCCCTCCCGCCCCCTCATTATATCCAACATTGTTTTTTTTAACATGTTGCCTCTTACTACTGTTCTACCTGGAAAATACTGCATCATTTCAAACCTGATATTTATACCCTAACATTACCAACCACTAATCAGTTTTCAATTCTGTGCAGCAGTGATATAGTTGAAAATATATTTTGTGTCCTACTATTATTCATTACTGCACCTACAGCTTGGCAGAAGCTGACAAATTATCTTACAGGTTGCTCAGATTTATGTTGGGTTTCAGTCTGCCTACTGTTGGAGCAGAAAGCAACAAAGTGGTAGCACTGACACTTAATTATCATTCTTGGCACAGCATCATTTTTAAAAATGTGATATTTCTGCAAGTAACATCACCGCGCACCATACAATAATGTTGCTATCCTTTGCATGCTAGGAAACTTAGTGCAGCCCATACCTCCTGATTTCAACTTAATCCTGCGATTTAAATGGGTCAATTTTACATGTCACTCTTCACTACTCAAGTATATCCAGTATAACGTGTTGTACAATATACATTACCATGATCTTCTCCCCACTTCAATGAGTTATTGATTTGTAAAAAGTACAGTGCTAGGTTATCCCACTTGGGTCAAGGAAACATTTTTTATGAGCAATAACCCATGAGTCAAGTTATATAGAAAAATAACACTCCCAACAGGAGCAGCAGAAACATTTAACGAGAGCCACTCAGTCACTCAGTCAGCATCATGCAATGCAGTTTAGTGCCACACCTGTTCCTAAACATGAAGGCATAGATTTACTTTTTCTTCCTCCATAAACGAGAAATTTGGAGAAACTCCAAATGAAGAGAGCCAAACTCGGAAAGAATGCTCGCTTTCTGCGAGGCCCATGCAGATTGCAATCTATCCCACTGGGGAAACAAAAACATCAATTCAAACAGTTTTAAACGTTCCTTTCTCTGCCCAATTTCTTGTGGGATCAGAGATGTGGTTGACTTAGCTCATACTCACTTTCCCAACAACGAACATCTAAAAAGAAAAGGTAATATTTATCTCATCTCACTAAACTATAATCAAACCCAAGCTGAATAGCTATGCTTAAAATAGCATAGCAAGAGAATAAAACACAACCCCAATTGCAAATTGCTTCCTCCAGCTACCGATACCTGCACTACTGTGATGAAGGGGAACATAAGAATGTATAAGGCCATTGCAGTCCCAGTACATAATTGCAATTGGGCACAACATTACCATGCACATTGGGCACAACTCTAATCCTAATGTCCAGCTATAGGGTCTGATAATTGAGTAGGCAGCAGCTGCTCACTTTCCAAAAGATTCAAACCAACACAAGGAAAAATGAAACAGATATCATATTGAAGATCCCAGAATCCCAGCAAATCAAAAGCTGTTGGAACACCTCTTTGATAACTTGTCAGCAATTTGCTTTTAAAGCAAAGCAGACATATCTGATGACCTGGTCCAGAAAAAGATTCTCTCAAGCACCTCATCAAGTCAGAATTGTAGCCACAGACATTTCTAAATTCTTTGATAAGATGACTTTGGTAACACTTTCCTCGCCGGCCTTCCAGCACCTCCCTCCACAAGCTGCAGATCATTCAGAACTCTGCAGCTCGTGTACTGTCCCGCACCAGGCTTCGGGACCACATCACTCCCACCCTCGCTCGCCTCCACTGGTGAGGATCGAATTCAAGATCCTCATCCTCACCTACAAGGCCATTCACGGCCTTGCTCCCTCCTACCTCTCCAACCTACTATCCCCCTACTTAGCTGCCCGTATCCTCCATTCCTCTGGCTCTGGTCTGCTCCACGTCCCCCGCCCCAACCGCCCTACCATCGGTGGCCGGGCCTTCAGCCTCTCAGCCCCGAGGCTCTGGAACTCTATCCCCCAGTGCCTTCGCCGCCTCCTCCCTTTCCTCCTTCAAGCTCGGTCTCAAGACCTTTCTCTTTGACCGAGCCTTCAGCTCCCCTCTCGACTCTCTACCCCCTCCTCGCTCCCTCCCTTCCCTCCCCTCACCCTGACCATTTCCCCCCTGCTCGGGTCCTGACCCAACTGTACAGCGCCTTGGGACGTCCTCCCGACGTGAAAGGCGCTCTATAAATGGAATCTTGTTGTTGTTGTTAACTTTTAACTATAACTTTATAACAATATAGGGCAGAGTGAAGCATATAAAAATTAGACAGGAAGCAAATATTGTAAAAAAAGGAATTTCACCTTCAGCATTGAGTTAAGTAACTAGTGAAAACAACTGAATGTGATAATATTTTGTTACTGAGAGTTCATCTTTACTACGCCAAGAATTAGGGTGTCATCCTTACAATAACCTTAATTGCAATCAATATGTAATGTTAAGTAATCAGATTAGGTCAATTATTATAGTATGCAGGTTTAAAGTTCAGTTGAAAGAACCAATGTCTCCTAGTCATATGTCTACCCTTTTAAGTCCACTAAAGAGTCAGGCTGAATGGTGCAACCTGGCTCAGATATTAGATCACCAAGCCACTCACAGAGAATATCTCTTCCATTCCCGCTTTGCCAGGTGAGGCACAATGGAGTCAACTCGCCTCCAAAAGGGGCCCTGATTCTCTCCATGCTTAAGAACATCCAAACAAAAGTTCCACATATGTATGCCACATACACAAGAGAATAATTACAATTAGCCATCAAACAACTACCAAATGCAACTTTGAGGTCTCACTCATTATATCGTTCAGTATAGTGAGCAACAGCACGTGCAAGTTCATTGGTACAATCCTCCAGAAAGTCCAATACATGGAACAATATTGCAAAGCTTCAGCAATAGTTGCTTAGCACTCTGCATATCACTCTGCATACATGCAAAATTAGACATCAAATCCTACACAATTGGCAGCAACTCAGAGCATTCTTTTTTTCTAAAAAAAAGCAGTAGCGTCTGCTAGAAGAAAAGGGGTGGGAGTAGAAGGCAGTTATATTCCACCATGGTCAGGATTTACAGCATGCATCGTCAGCTCAAGTTTTGCATCTAATACGTGGGCAACATACTGTAATTACAAAGTGGAGGGGGAGACAAACACCCTAAAACAGATAGCCAGATTTTATTATTAAAAGATTTGACAAAGAGTGCACCAAATTGCTAAAGATACAGTGGAGCCTTTTACTGCAATCCTTAAAAATGCTCCACAATCAATTCCCAGGAATTTTACTATTTACATGCTATGCTTCAGCTATGCAAGAGCCAAGGCTTCAGGCCCTCCCCATAGTGTGCGTTGTGGTATTGCTGGAAAAATACCAGATAAAACTACATTGCTTGCCATTGTCTGGAAAGCTTCTCAGTGCTTATCCAAAAAGGATCACCCTACCCATTAGGGCTGCATCTTGCGGAATTAGCAGGAGCTGAGTGGGAGGAATTCCTGCACCCAGTTACTGATCTGACCCTCTAAGTATTCCTGATGAACAAAGCTAGCTAGTCTGTCATCATCAGTGTGTTGTAGTATTGCAGACCTATCCGATTCAGGAAGCAGACGACCAAGACCGCTACCAAGGGTTTACTGAATTCCGACATTCTATTACCATGCGTAAGTATGCACATCATCTTGGAGCCAACTCAACAACAACAAATCACATTTGTATAGGTCTTTCATGCCTGGAGGATGTCCCAAGACAATGGACAATCAAGGATTTTCACCCGAGCTGGGGGATGGGATCAGGAGGATGGAGAGCAGTAAGGGTGACCAAAGGTGGGGTCAAAGAGAAAGGTCTTGAGACAAGCCTTGATCGAAGCAAGGGAGGGGTTGAGTCAAAGGGACTGTGGTATAGAGTTCCAAAGGGTGGGACAGAAAGGCTGAAGGCCCTACTGCCAATAATAGGGCGGGCTAAGCAGAAGGAGTGGACAGATCGGTCCGGAGTTAGCAGGTCACAGAGGTAGGGAGAAGCAAGGCCTTGCAGGGTTTTGAAAGCGAATATGAGGATTTTTAACTCAATCCACTTTACACTAAGTGTTTCAGAGTCAGCACTGTTTAGCAGACATTTGAATATAATGTCCACCCACTTCCACACAAGTTGAATTATAATCAGGAGGACTCCACATTGATAAAATCTAGTTTTAATAAGACTGCTACACTTGAATTAACCTTTTTAAAACAATTTAACATCTTGAAAATACCGTTTTGATGTATCAAATTAGTTATTTTTGATTTCATTCATCTGAAAAGGTAATAGTCTCGTACATATTCTAAGTACAATTAGAGCAATGTACAGAACATGAGATTATTCATAATTCAGCACATTCTTGTAATAAACTAGAATACAGTGGAACCTTGATCATCTACCATAATGGGACGGAAACATACTATAAAATAATGGATGTTAAATAAGTGTGAATACTTGGAACATATCTAGGATCTACTGGAAAAAACATGAATGTAATGGCTAAAAATATGAAGATAATAACCTTTATAGTCTCCAGAAGTTCCAGTGTAAATAATTCATGTATATTTCAAGGTATTGGTAGTAAATACCTTACTATTCTTGGAATATTTTGAAAGATGTTCCTATTCGGAATCCTACTTTTTCTCTCCCATTTCCATCAATGCAATATGTAAATATTGATACATCAGCTCACCTCTTCAGATTTACCATTGCCCAAGGAATGCCTGTGGGAGTATTGAACGAGGGCAGTAGCTTCTCAGCGAGCTGTGCGGCTTTCTGCTTAAAGACCTGCAAAAGAATAAGAATACTCCTTAACAAAAGAACTATTTCTCATCCTTTGTGGATGATGTTACAATCTTGTCCACGCAGATGAATTTAAGTAATCAATCACTCCATTGTGTGTGGGAGAGTTAGTGAAAGAGAAATGCAATGAAAACAGGCCTCTCACTTCCAAAATCAGGAATTACCCCAATTAAAATCAAGCTTGCATCCTACACGATAATCTTTTATAATTTACATCTTGCTTGGATAGGAACTGAATTCAAGTTTTGAGAAATAGACATTGCCTAGAGTGCTTTACAATCCTGAATTGTATTGTAAAACTTCAAGGCAATCAATCTGCAAGACGGAAACCGGAGTACTTTTTCATCAATATCTGAAGTTCAAGCTAGGTTACTACATATAACACAATCTAGCACGGTTATTCTACATATAAATTATGCATCTTTAGATGCACGATGGCTTTGTATTATTTCTGCCCCCTCAGAGATGCCTTGCCAGACATTCTGCTTTCAATTCTGTGTCACAAGACCAGATTTGGTACTGTGCCACAAAATTAGTAGAGAAGCAATTCTGGGTATTATCCTGTTGTTCGATACTTGGAAACACACAATATATAGAAGCTATGGCAACACAAAAAATAACAGTATACTGAAAATTAGAATGGGTTGATCCATATTAAGTTGAATATAACGGCCTACGGCTAGTTATCCATTCTGAAACAAAGATTACACATTTATGAATGACAGGTTGTGTGTATCCAATATTTGTGCTTCATGTTTCCCCTCTTTGCAGCAAAGTTATTCTGGCAATTTTAGAGATATGTGGAAACGAAAGCTGTGAAGACATGTTTAGGATCAAAGATCAAAGCTTTTAAGATTATGATCAAAATGTTTAGTAAAAATGTTATTGGGCAGGCCAATTTGATAGACGTGTACTTAATCCAAGTCTTCTACTGAAGATTCAATGTTCTTACTCACAATGATTTCCCAATCCCTTTAAGATCCTTCAACTGATCTTTGCAGTGGGCAGGACTTGGATCATTCCATCAAAAAGGGATGCTCTTCCAGCACGCTGGAAAGCAATTAGAGTCTGTCTGTGCGGGATGTATTCTGTTCCTCCCCAATAAGTCCTCGGGAGACATTTCCTGCAGCATTCAGGATACGCCATTGGCAGCAACTTGATGACCTAGAAGTTGGCCATTTTTTCTCATACTTTGGAAACCAGCTGGCCTGTGAGAAGTGAAATTGACCGACTTGTGAGCCATCAGTTTGCTGAAGTCCTTTCCGTTGCCTGTATAGGAAGTGATGTCGCTGGTAAACTAATGTCACAGAAGTCAGCCATTTCTTAACTTGAGTGAAGCCATGAATCAAAGTAGAGTGTGGGTTCACATGCGACCACCAGGAAGGTGGAAGGCGAATTAGATGGACCTTAGTCTTTTTTTGACTAGCATTTCTTATGTCCTTAGGTCATAAGAAATCAAACATTAAAAGGGGTATATTTTGATGTGATTTTATTGTAACAGAAATTCATCACTCTAGTAGAACATGTCTTTGCTTATTGGTCATATTCCAAGCATTGCAGAATACAAGTACGTAATTAATGTTTTTGGCCCGTTTTAAAATAGCTTCTAAAAATGTCAATAAAAAAAGTTTTGCTTTAAATACATTTTTATCAACAACAAGATATAAATTTATTTTCTCAACTACATTGGAAATCCTTACTAGAAAAGAAATCCTTACTAGAAATCAAGCTCAACTCCATTAACAAAGCAGGACTCATTTGTCTAACCTCGGAGCACACCATTCATTGTTCCTCATTTCCTTTTATTAGCAGCGGCAATTGATGCTAAAAGCTTAGGTTATATAAAAGGCATCATTTCAGTTCTATCTTCAAAATGAAGCAAAATTGTCAGCCGCCTCTTGTTTTTAATAATACGTGAGCTATTTTTTAAAAAAAGAAATACTCAAAGTAAGGTCACTGTGGGTTCAAGTCGCTGTGCAGTTTTCCAGCTGGAGGCAGACATTCTTATTGATTTATGAGGACCTTCTACTGCATCTTAGAATGGAAATAAAGCACTCCAACTTTCCTATAAGCATTTACAATGGCATGAGTGTTATTACATTATTATAGGGCAAGTAAATTGGTACATTGGACTCATTTTCCTCCTCGCCCACTATAAATCAAACTTCATTAACTCAGACTTTACAAGATCAACTTCCACCAAAATTAATAAAATTCTAGAAACCAAATGTTTCCACAACTTTTCATGTGAGAAATGTCTCATCAATTGAATGTATAAACATAGACAAAGCAATTATTTTGACACACACATGCCTCTAGCCTACAAAGCCATAGCATTTCATTTTTAAAATGTACAGAATTATTAAATGTTTTTAAAAGAGAACCATGGAACACAAGAATGGTACCTGAGGGATATAACTTCATAGCTGCTTGATCTGACTTTTAATGAATGAATTAAAAGTCATGTTCACAAGCTGCTATAAGTTAGTTATTTGATATAGAAAATGCAAGCCATTCTTGGAAGCAGTGTACGCGCTACATAAACATTGTTTTCTGGCTGTAGCAAATGCAACATAAGTCTATATACACTGTTTTATTGCTGCTTTCGTGGAGTCCTGTGGCTCAGTGGTTAGGGCACTGCCTTGCAAACAAAAGACTTGGGTTTGATTCCCGGCAGGGCGAAACGTTAGGCAAGTTTCCTTACTCCGCAACCCTCTGTCTACCTAGCAATAAGTAGGAACCGGGTTGTTAGTCGATTGGCGGATGACTTTTCCGGGAGTAATAATTCCTTCAAAAAAATAATAATGAATTGGTCACTTCAGCCCACGACTGTTTGTGGGACCTTGCTGTGTGCAATTGGCTGCTGCATTTCATTCACAAAAGGGAAGTCTTGCTGCAACTGTATAAGGCCTTGGTGAGACCGCACCTAGAGTATCGTGTGCAGTTTTGGTCTCCTTATTTAAAAAAGGACATACTTGCCCTAGAGGGGGTGCAGCATAGATTCACTCGGTTAGTTCCTGGGATGAGGGGACTGACCTATGAGGATAGGCTGAATAAACTAGGGCTATATTCGCTAGAGTACAGAAGAATTAGGGGAGATCTTATTGAAACATAAGATTCTTAAAGGGCTGGATAAAGTAGACACTGAGGGTCTGTTTCCCCTGGTAGGAGAATCTATAACCAGGGGTCTGTCTTAAAATTAAGGGTCAGCCTTTTAGAACAGAGTTGAGGAAACATTTCTTCGCTCAGAGGGCAGTGAATTTATGGAATTCACTACCCCAGAAGGCTCAGTCCTTGAACATCTTCAAGGCTGAGACTGATAGATTTTTTAAAAATAGAGGGATTAGGGGATATGGGGATAGAGCAGGTAATTAGAGTTAGGTCTGAAGATCAGCCATGATCTTATCAAATGGTGGGGCAGGCTCAAGGGGCCGAATGGCCTATTCCTGCTTCTAATTCTTATGTTCTTATGTTCTTATATACAGTCAATTCACTTTACAGTATATTCTGTAAAGCTCTTTGAGACATCTCGAAGACATGATATAGCACAATATCAAATGCAACAACAACAACAACAAACCTAGTGCAGAGTTCTGGATGATCTACAGCCTGTGGAGGGAGGAGTTGGAAGGCTGACAAGCAGTGAGTTTGCATAGTCGAGCCTCGATGATGTAATGAAGGCATGTATGAGGGTTTCGGCAGCCTGCAGTGTGAGACAGTGTTAGAGCCGGGCGACTTTGCAGAGGTGGGGGAAGACAGAGTGGGTCATGGCTCAGATGTGGGGTAGAAAGGATAGTTGAAGTCAAACAAGGCCCCAAGGTTCCGGACTGGCTTAGCAAGGTGGGGTGTGCAACAAAAAAGTGGGAGCAGGAAATTAGTTCTGGATTGCAAGTTTGTCAGTTGTGTTGATAAAATAGAGACAAAGAGGATAGATGCAAGAAAGAGGTTAGAATAATCAGACAAGCATTTTCTTGCAATCAATCCAAGAGTACAGGGGAATGGTACATGGCTCCATAGAAAATTGTTGGGAAAAGTCAGTGAGTTTCACAAAAGAGGACAGGACGGTTTACGTATTTAGGAAACGGCCTGATCCTCCTTTGTCCAAACTTCCCTATTATTTTCCATGGATTTATTGCAACTTCTTCACAGTAATCACTTTGACATAAGTCGCTAAAACTATTTAAATTCTTATACACGAAGGGTCTATTTCTATATTCCATCATTTATTTACCCAGCTCCACTGACTCCCCACCCCTGAGGATGGAGTTCAAAATTCTCATCCTCACCAACAAGGCCCTCCATGACCTTGCCCCTTCCTACCTCTCCAACCTGCTAACCCCTTATCAACCTATCCGCCTCCTCTGTTCAGTGGGCTCCGGCCTGCCTGCCCCATGTCCTCCACCCGGCCTGTCGCACCATCAGCGGTCAGCCTCTCTGCACCCACCCTCTGGTACTCCATCCTACCTTCCCTTCACCTCACTCGATCCCTTGCCTCCTTCAAGACACGCCTCAAGGCCCTCCTCTTTGACTGTATACCTTCGGCCACCCTCCTACCCTCTCTGCCCTCCACCTTCCCTGATCCCAATCCCCTCCCCGCCCACTCGGGTCCTAATCCCTGACTGTTCAGAGCCTTGGGACATCCTCCCGATGTGAAAGGCACTTTAAGAATGTTGGGATTACATTTTCAATTAACTATTACAATTACATATTTTTCTTAAGTTACTTTAACAATATAGCTCTCATTTTGTAAACATGTTTGCAACATTATCTTACTGTTTTCACCTCATCTATTTTTAAAACTACATCTCTGAATTTCAGCCTTTTTTTCCGAAGAAAAATGACAGCTTTACCACAGCCTCTCTCGAAAGACAAAAGATCGGATCCTGACCAAAATCAATCTAAAACTCAAAACAGACAGCAAACCAATGTATCATCATACAATTCAGTTACAATTCCTTTACTACAACTTTTTTTAAAAATACCTTGTTGATTACGAATACCTTCCAAATGTGCTTTCCTTTTCATAGTGATTTATCTTTTTATAGTTTTGTTCCATTTTTGCTCAGTGCTACTTCCTGGGTTTTCCTTAAAACATTTTAATGTTCATCTCTCTCCCTATGGGAGTTACTTTATAGGGATTACTTATCCTGATAGTCATGTAGTGGCAAAACAATGAAGATTGTGTGTTACTGCACAGAGGTTACTTATCCTGATGAACTTGTGTTAAGACAGAACAGTGTAGATAGAACTGCAGGATTAAAGGGGAAGGTAGTTCATTTAAAAAAGGAAAAATAAAAAATGTTTAACTGTACCTCTTCTCCCGAGAGATAGTAAGCAGCAAGCAGGCCTCCGATAAACCTAATATTCACTTCAAAGACCGAGACTTCTGCATTCTAGGAGAGGGAAACAAAGTGAATTGAGCAGATGCATTTAAGCACCTCTAAAAAATGGAAATACAGTATTATAGTTTTCTTAACCCATATTATGATGACTAATCACAATACTCTTCTTTACATGAAGGGTTTGCACAAGCTTGTTGTTCACCAGTTTCAGCACATTAATACAGTTTAATTTTGCCAAGCAGATTCCTAACTAGCTTTCACTATAAATCAAAATAACAGTAGAGTTGGAGAATGTTCATAAATGTTGAGGTAACCAGAGTTGAAACAAAACTTCAACTGGCAATATCTTATTAGAAAACGAGTCCACATGTTCCATGAGTACATTTGTTAAGCAGAAGATTTCTGTTTGGACACCAACTCAAAAATGAATAAATGACTAGCATTCCAGCTTATAAACAGATGTAAACAAGTCAGACACACACACAATTTCACTGGATCATTACATTTGATAAATCATTAAATTAACAAATTTATGAATTATTCTGATCAGTAAAGAGAAAGAGCATACCATATGTGTGACAAAATGCTCGTCACAATTCTGGAAATTCTCATTAACTACTCTCATAAAATTAGGGTCAAACGTAAAGCACAATATCATGTGGTTAAATGGGCAATTTGTAAAACCATCAATGTCTGCTGTATTATTTCTCTATTTTCTTCTAACAGAAAAGTATTTTAGAATCAAAGGAAGTTCAGGAAATGGCATAAATCAGTTTCTGGATATTTATATGAGCAGAGCTCCTCTTCTCTTTTCCCCTCTCACATATTGTCAGTGTAGAGTATTGCTCCCTGTTCATACTTCTGCACAAAGCTACTTCAATAAATCAACTTGAAAGGGGGATATAAATTCTAGTGGATGAAAAATTCTGAAATGTATCTTCCCAACATCTGTCCACTAGACACACTCAAAATTGATATCTCAGCAGCCCATTTGTTACTTTAACACCCAGTAACTATAAAACCTCTTTCAATGTGTCCTTCTGCAACCTTGCACTTCTCTATTTTCCAAATAACTGGTAACCAACATGGAAAACACTCAAATAGCATTAAATTCAAATAGTATTAAATAAGCCACCTCACTAGCAGCTCAGATAAAATATTTCCAGATAACAATTCTATGTTGAACAAAAATCAGTAGATGTAAAGATACAAACAGAACCATTATGACTTACCATACTGAAATCTAGATTCTTCTCAATCCATTCTTTCCCATCTCGAAACTCATCAAAAAGACCCATGATGTAGAGAGTATCTAATGCATCCACTATGGTAGCACCCATCTGAGAATTTCCTAAAAATACAAAAACATTCAATTCTTTACATGATGGCTGACTAAATACAATATATAGTACATAGATTTGACAGATGATCCACCTGAAACAATTAGCTAGTTGTGCATCTTCTCTAGTGTACAACCTAATGTGTTTCAAACACTAGTCTCCTCTCAAATTAATTGTTACACTGCGCAAGATCATTAGAAAGGCAGAATTGAGCATAAAGCTAATCCTTCAATGTGCCAATGAACAGCATGTCCATGCTTTCAATTGTGTTTACTGTGCACATCATGAAACATACATTTCCTTCTATAGCCAAGTACATATTGCTGAAATAATTGATCCAATATCCACATATGAATAATATACTAATAGAGTATAAGCATAGTACTGTACTTAACAGCTAGGTAATTTATTTTCATCGTAATAATACAGGGAATTCCAGTTTGGCTAAACTAAGATTCACTTTTTCTGTGGCATAATTGTAATAAACAGCAACATCCTAACACCTGATCACAACTCACAGTGCTTGATTAATACGCTGTTCACGTAAATGATAGCTTGCAAATACAGTCCACTAGCCTGATGCTCTTGTCTTTCTCTCTCCCCCACATAATCTGCAACCAGCAATTTAAATAAATCATCAATTCTCAATCATTTTTTAGAGTCAATTAGTTCAAAGTAGATCTGCTTTGCACCTGATTCTCACTTTAAAAAATGTAAAAATGCTGTCTAAAAAGTTACATCAATTAAAAATTACTATACAGTTACTTAAATAGCAGAAATCTCAATACTTTATACTAAAATAATGAGTCAACTGAATGACAGTTGAAGCTACACTACTGCACAATATGAAGAAAATATTTCTGATTCACTATCTTAATTAAAACATGTAGTTTAATTATCTCTGTACAGTTATCAAAGTTGCTATTAATAAGTTACAAACCCTCAGGGTGCAAAACCTGAGAGATTTTAACATACAACAAAATAAAACAAATTGTAGCACAATTTACATATGACACCCAAATTAGCCAAATCAAAAAAAGGTAACTCATGCAGGATTCAGACTACAGGGTTGTTACCAAAGTATACATGTTAAAGTTGTTTTGATGGATTCAGATCACAAATTTTGTAGTCAGGTAGGGAATATGTATTCATAAGCAATTTTATTAATGCTTTTCAACTCAAAACTTCTCCCTCATCTTGGGTCGGTTACATGTCAACCTGAGTCAGCAGCACGATTGTTTCTGGGTCAAGCGGTTGTAAATTGAAGCCATAAGTTGGTTTTGAGCTCAGTCTAAGGTGACACTCCTTTGCAGTAATGTATTGTTCGAGGCTTCATCCTTCGGACAAAAGGCTAAACCAAGATTCCATTGGATTGGTCTTTAGCTGAACAGTAAAGATCTCTCAATTGATGAAGTTTATCCAGGTGTTATGTCTAACAATTCTCCAGATAAAACATTCATTTTTTGAGACACCACTGTACTTGCTGACAAGAGTCATTGCGTGTAACACATATCACGATTAAGCGCTTGGAGAGGTCATGACATTACATAGGTGCTATTAACATCCATCATTCTTCTAGTTCATGGATATGAAACATCCCTCTGGTACCGTATTCAAAAGGTCATTCATCATGTATTTGTGTCAACAACTCATTGGCTGTCAGGGGTATCGAAGCCAAGCCAAATTTATTCTTTGCCCAACAGTGACACATGGGACTTTCCATCATGGGTCAGTGGACAGTTAGTAGAAATGTGAATCTTATTTAATATTTCTCCTCCCTCATCTGGGCATCCTGAGGCCAACTAAGCACTCATACCACTGCTCTAGCGAAGGTCAGCTAACCCAGAACAGGCAGGCTATTAAATCTGAAATGTTTCCCACTTGTACAATATAACAGGTTTAAACATTGAGCCATTTCAGAGCTCCAAGCACACAATTTTAATATAAAAACATAGAGTGTTGAATTTAAAAAAGATATAAAGGTTTGGATTCACGATTCAATTTTCATTATGTTTTCTCACCAATACGAAAATTAAAAGTTTGTTTTTAATCACACACTTCTAAAACAGATAATATTAAATGTTAGTTTCCACCATTGTTAAAAATGTACTTCTAATTCATCCATGAATTTAAATCTACTGATCAATACACTTATAGTTTTAAATTTGTTTTGGCAAGAACACAGCAACCTAAAATACATATATTTTTTAATTTCTTGAATCTTTCTTGATCCAGACATAATTCACTCTCCAGTTTTCTCAATTGTTTCGTTATATTTGACACTCTCCTGGAAGCCTAACCAAGATTAAATACTCACCGTATGGAGACAAATGAACCGAATTTTTTTCCTGCCATTCTAAATGAGCTAGCTTTTATGAACAAGCTGGAGTTTATGAAACACAACTATCCCGCAAGAGTGCAATCTGACAGAACAAAACCCTAAATCACTTACATAACCAATACTTGAGCATCCATCCATTGACCCAGTGATAGTGTCGTGCCATTACTACCAGCAGACTGGAAATTATAGACTGGCTTTGCTCGAATTGTGGAAATGCTCGAATTTGCTGCCAAATGTTCCTAATGTTCCTAATCAAATCTCATCTTTATTTAAGTATACCTCACTTGTAGAACAAACAGCAAAACAAATTCTATGATTTCTTCAATGACCCATAAATAAGTGCAAAATGTTAAGGGGAAAACTGAAGATTGATAATTAAATAGCATTTTAAAGTGCCAACGACAACAGAATATCACTTCAAATGAGCACCTTGAATTGTCATCTATTTATCTCAGTTGGATTTCTGACAATATCATAGAGTAAACAATATTCTCATTTCATGAAGCATCTACAGCATCCATCAGTTATCTCCCTTTTTAAAGTGAAAACTGCTTCACTATTCACTATGAAAATAACCATTAAAAATTATCCTTCCATCTCACAATTATAAGCCAAGTCATTTCACTGAAAAACAGACCATAAAAATGTCTAAGATAAATACAATTATGATAGGAAAAAGAAGTCAAGCAAACAAATAATCTGAAAAAGCACCCAAGTGCTTAAAACAGATTCTAAAATCTTTTCATACCAGTAATAATGTATCTCATGAGCAAAATAATATACAGTGTATACATGGTGTGTAAAAGCAGGCAGTTTCATGGTTATTATTGATGGATGTCTGGTATATAGATTTGACTTGGTTATTTTGGTAAGATCCCAAGTGGAGTGATTCATGATTAAGTGTTGAGGGACAACTAAATTACACGAAATGGCCGCCTGCTGAAATAAGTGAAGGCAGGTTGTCATTTTATTCTTTGAAATTAATCTTCAAGCTAAAAGAGCCAACAGCAAACAATTAAAAGTTGACAAATAGAAAAAAAGGTAAAATTATAATTTTTCAAAAATTAAGTGTTTACATCTTCCCTTCACACCCATGTCTCACTGATATCAAACTGAACTGATGTCTTTCCATGCCTGGTCAGTTAAAGGTACCAGGAAAGTTATTTCATTAGGGTTAGGCAACAAACTTCATGTTTCTGCACACATGTACAGTGAATGTGAAACCACCAAATGACAATTACATCCCATTATAGAATAGGTTGGTATATTATGGACCTCAATTGCCATATTATAAAGGACTCTAATGTTTCCAGGGAAGGCACTGGACTTCAGACTTGGGTTGCACATTAAAATGTTACTGGACACTATTTGTGCATTCTATTAAACCCTGTGGAGTCCTGTAGCTCAGTGGTTAGAGCACTCGCTTTGCAAGCGAGAGACCTGAGTTCAATTCCAGGCAGAGGGCGAAACCTTGGGCAAGTTTCCTTACTCCACACAGAGCCTAATAATAATCCCTCCAAAACAAAACAATAATAAATTGGTCATTTTCAATCTACCACTTTTTGTGGGACATTGCTGTGCGCAATTGGCTGCCGCGTTCGCCCACAAATATACAGTCAATTCACTTTACAGTATGTTCTGTGAAGCGCTTTGGAACATCCTCCCGACGTGAAAAGCACTATATCAAATGCAAGGATTATTATTATTATTATTATTATTATTATATCGACTGGCTGACTAGATAGATAATAGATGAAAGGTGCTATCGGTTATTAAAACAACAAACAAAAGTGCACCAATTCAGTATTTTATAATCCATAGCCAGATCAAAAACAGATCAAAAATAGCATTCTGGTCAAATTAACGCCATCAATATGGCCTTTAAAGTCTAAAAAAAATCCATGCCAACCAAATCTCACAAAAAACATGAATGAAATGTACTGAAATCTTTGTCTATCTTCTTTTACAGAAGTAATCAAGGTTGGATTTCCTTGCACCCGCTCCATTTGAGTAATAATTATTTCTCACATTTAAAACAACTGTTACTTGGCCAGATTGCTACTTGTACTACCAGCATTGGTAATGCATTTACAACGTCCACTCTCGGTTAATTCAGGATTTAGTACAGCAAACCAGATGGGCAATTGAATATACAAAAGATGCTACAGGAGCATGTTAATTACAGCTGGGACCTGTAGCTCCCCAGATAATCATTCCTATTTTCCCCCCAATTCAATGTTTCACATGTTTAGTTAAAAGTTTGCTACATTTGTGCCAATTAGCATCAACACATCCATCAGACACGGTTTCAAAGAAACATTCATTATCCCAACATTGTGGCATAGTTGACTGCATCACACACAAAAAATGAGCAGCTGCTTTCAGTGTAGCAGGCTTTGTTCTTCAACCTTCGCAGAAAATGAAAAGGTTACAATCCAAACAGCTCTTCCTCGAGCTCATTGAACACAAAGATCTATTTCTAGCATTGCACCTAATATTCCTGTGAAAAAGATGCCTGCAGAAGAAAATGGAGTTGATGCCACAAGACAAGAAACACACGGGAGTTGCTTTCAATGGTGCCGTCAAACTATGAATCTCCATTTCCCACAAAAGCCACCTTTGTAGCTTCTCAGGGAGGCTACCAATAATGCGTAACTCAAGCCATTTCTT